CTTCAAGAATAATTTTAAAGAAATTCAAAAATCTGAATTTTAAAACAATTTCAAGGTTTCAAAAAAATTCGAGATGAAGGTTTCAAGAAGATTTCAGGAATATGTAAAGAAAAGTTTAAGAATATTTTAATAAAATACCCAAAGGGCATCTGGAATATTTGAAGAAGATATTTAAGAAGGTTTCAAGATGTTCCATAAAGATTTCAGAATCTGAATTCAAAAAAATGTTAGGAATATTTAGTGATTTCAAAAACATTTCAGGAAAATGATAGGATATTTGAAGAAGAATGTAATAAAAAGTTTTTTATATTTGTTGTTTATATATGTTGAAGAGGCCTCTGAAAACTTCAAAAAAGTTTATTAAAAAAATTATCAAAGAAATGATTTTGTGCACAACATTTTAATTTCAACAGAAAATACCACGAAGACTTCATGAAGATTTCAGGAGTACTGAAAGAAAAATGTAAAAACACTTCCACAAAATGTCGAGTATATTGCAAAAGAATATTCCAAAAAGATGTCAAAAATACTTCAAGAAGAGTTTAGGAATTTTAAGATTTCAATCATATCTTAAGACTTCACGAATATTAAAACATTTCAAACAGAAGCGGTTAGAAATCCCTAAAAATTTTTTTTGATTTTTGAAATATTTTGAAAAATCCGATTTTTTCAGGTGTTAATATTTGACATAGGGCAAACCGGAGACACTTTACAAATTGAAGATTTTGAGATGGCGAAGTTTAGTGTCGATTTCACTTGCATTCACTTTATCTGTCCGGCTGTCTGTCTGTGCCGTAACAGTTTTCAAGATATTTACTTCACACTCTTGTCATTTGAGCGATTGCGTGATCCTAACTAAAATAACAATCGTGCATTTCGAGGAATTCGATTGCGGGGCATAAATGAATTTTGCGCAGTCTTTACAAGGTGCGATATAAAGAAAGGCATTGGGCCTACATAAATTACACAGCGCCATAGTGACCAACTTCGGTCCCATAAACGGTACCGCTACTTTAGAATTCCCAAAGCCGATACTGAACTATTTATTATTCAAACTTCTTGAATGGTAAATCGGGTCGCGTGGGTAGTCATCAAATTTTGCGTGACAGGCGCGACCTTGACGCGTTACTGTAATCGAATCGACCCATAAAAACGCGGAAATAAAGGCGCGCTTACACGGGGCCCTTCTAGTTCTCCGCGTTGACAAATCTCGGGATTGTCATATAAAGGCTTAAGGTTACGGTGTCAGTTTTTCTGGAGTAAGCGTTTAGGTCACGATTTGAACTATCGCACGGCCCGAGCGGATCTTCTTCGCTCCACCCAGGCGAAACTGACCTAACCCTGCGGATACGCCGTCGATAATCACGTTCGCCTGTACAGTTAGATTAGAAATGAATGTGTGGATGTATGCGAACACGTATGGATTTTGAATCTTTTTCGCTTGAAATAAAATATAAATGTACAAAAACGTATTTGAATGTAGGTATGGGCATACGCTCTAACTGAGACCTTGGAACACATTAAACATGTCCTGTCGCTGGTAAAAGGTTTTATTTCTCCATATTATATTTTTAAAACGGCGCGCTTCTGTTACCTATCGGTCCCTTTCGCAACACGGGCCGTGCTACGTTCAGGATGGGGTGGCGCAGGGTTTCGAGGGTGGGCCACTCGTCTCGCGCGTCAAAAGTGGGTACGCGTCGCAAGTATGCGAGAAATTTCAAAGGTGCGTAATTGGTGGACTCGATGGTAATCAAATTACAATCTAATTGTATCAACATTTACTATTTCTCTCAATGCCAATCGCCCGATGCAGGTTGTAAAGCAGAATCAAGGTAGAATATAGAACAGAAGTTCTCAACTCGCGTCCATTATTTGATTGTCGGCAATTTATTTAACCACTTTTCTCGCAATTGTTTGCCTCTCTATATATTAACGGCGAAGTTAATTGGTCGTAACGTTGTCGTAAATTAGTCTGCGACGTAATTTGTGTTGGGACTTTTTCTTCGGTTTGCAAACCTGTCGCTGCTGCACGATCGTTCTGAACCTTTTGCACATAATTACCAAGCAACCTGTATATCGTCATTTTTAAATTGATATTACAAAGGTCTAGGAATCGCTTATGGAAGGGGTGGGCTTGAACCCCGATGGTCCCCTTTAGTTACTGTTTTGATGCATGTGGCTTTATTAGGAAATTCGATTGCTGCCAAATTTCGCTTTCTGAGAGTTTCAGTTTCTTCAATAGAGGTAATCGTAATCGCTCCACTTACCATTTCTGTAGTAAGCTTTCGTTAATTATCGCATATTTTACATAGCTTTACTTAATTTTATTTTTTAGCATTAACTAATTGCTTTTGGAAAATTGCTGAAGACACAAGTTTAAAATGTCCACAGTGTTATTATATAACAAACTACAAAGCAAAGTTAAGAAGGCATATGCTAACTCACAATAGTTTCAAATATTTAAAATGTGCACAGTGTGATTTTGCAACACTTCGCCCCTATGTTCTGACACGGCATTTCTTAACTTACAAAACTTCACAGGATTTAAAATGTGCACATTGTAATACAACGTTTGTGGGGTCTGCTATTATTTTTATAAATAAAAATGACTGATTGGCTCAGTCAATTGCGATGAAACTTAGGACAATAAATAAAATAAATAAAATAAATAAAATAAATAAAATAAATAAAATAAATAAAATAAATAAAATAAATAAAATAAATAAAATAAATAAAATAAATTAAATAAATAAA